CTCACCCAGATCAGGAGACCCTCTTCTGGATCCGAGATGTCAGGTGGAGATGGTTTTCTCCAGGCGCAAGGTTGGTAGAAAAACCGTAGTGCGACCAAATCGGTCCTGAGATGTCTCCGTGGGTCACTCGACTGGTGGAACTATTTGCGTCTCAAAATCAATAACTCTGAAGGAGTTTTGCGTCAGCTGGTTACAGGTGCGTTTATTCGAAGCAATTCTATCGGCGTGACAATGCTTAGTAGAGATTCGGGCGGCCGTCCCTCTTCCTCTGGTGGGTTCAAGAACTGAACATTTGCTGCGGGAGATATGGTTTTAACAAAACCCTCAGAACACGCCCTCTCAGCATCAGAAAGCTTGGTCATGAGGTAATGACATGTGAGATGATTTTACCCTTTACCCTGAATCTGTCATGGTGGGTGTCAGTTTCTTGACCCACGACATGCAGAATCACAACACGGAGAACGGGAAAGTAAGTAAAAAGGTTTTTATTGTAAAATGAGGAGCGAAGAACCGACAAAGTGCAGGACTGGCAGCAGGATACCAGGACAAGATTCTGAGGAGGGAGACAGAGTGAATATACGGTGGAAATAATGGAAATTTATCTGGAGGCTGGGCTTACTGTTTCTTGGTAGTGGTAAAAAGTACAGGGAGGGTTAGGTCAGGTCCGGGTGAGCTGAGGATATCCAGAGGGTGAGGGCATTGGTGTATGTAGAGGTGTAGGAGCTGGAATGGATGATGGCAGGTGAGCGGCTGAGAGCGGGCGGCCAGGGGATGAAGCAGTGTGGTCAGGAATGCTGAGATCCGGGAGAGATGAAGAGGTACCTGGAGGAGAGCAGGGAAGGGCATTCAGGAAGTTAAGGCGGCAGGTTAACAAGAACAGGATACAGGTATCAAAATCAGGTTGGAGGCTAGAGCTACCCAAAAAGAGTAATCATCCGGCGTGGTGAAGTGTCACACTGCTCCTTAAATCCCCTGGGCCTTGATGTTGAGATCAGCTGCAGCTGGGAGTTCTCAGACATGCCCACCTGTGAAAACAATGCTCAGAGGAGAAAACAGGGTTACAGGCAGGCAGCTCACCACGGACCATGACAGTATCTCCTCTGAATGAGGCTGGTTAAACGTGCAAGATGATCTTCTGGTTTACTGAACACACATTAGGATTATCAACAATAATCATTATTATACCCAAAGCATAATAAGTAATTTCAGTAATTAAAATACATTTATACTGAATCAAAAGATTATTTAAGATGGTTGTAATAACAGTAATAAAGTCAAGAGTTTATTAAAATTATCATTTAAAATTATTATTGTGAAGCTTGAAGTGTCCTTCATCCTGGGACGGAACCATCGACATAAATATATGGACAATGGGTTTCCATAAGCTCCAATAATAAGTTTTTGTACTAAAATGGGAGGTGGCCACCACCGCCATTTTGACCGTGTCACAGGTTCCGTCAAGCCCAAACAATTCCATAAAAGGGAAGAGAGGGGGAGCTGAGGGTGGGGCTGTAAGGCTGGGATCAACTGACGACACCCGGTCAAACTAGCTACAAGCTAACCTGAAGCTAACCCAAAGCTAATGCGGAGGTGGGAGCTAAGCTAACGGAGGTAGCAACCTAGCTACAACCGGAGTTAACTGTGCACAACACCAGAGCCTCTGAGTCAGAGATACGCCGGGCTGACCTCTGGGTAAAACCGGGTGGAACACAGAGGTCTCCGAGACCTCCACAAGCCGGCAGCCGCACAGCAGACAAGCGCCGCTGCAATCTGAGATGCGCAGAGCTGCCGCTGGGGAGAACCGGGTGGAAAGATTTCCATCCCAGAGCTCCACAAGCCATCAGCCCGCGCAGCACACACAAGCCGCGATCAGACAGAGATGAGCCGAGTTGCCGGGGGACCCAGACATCAGCCCGCGCAGCACACACAAGCCGCGATCAGACAGAGATGCGCCGAGCTGCCGGGGGACCCAGCCGTCAGCCCGCGCATCACACAGAAGCCGCGATCAGACAGAGATGCGCCGAGCTGCGGGGAGGGGAGAAACGGGTGGAAAACATCGGTCTCCCGAGAGCTCCACAAGTCGGAACCCAGCTCCACCAACATGTTATATTTCAACCCATTTTCTAAAGTGCAGCATTTTGTTAAATGCACTGGGTTTTACCCTATTGCATTTAAATTTCATGGTTAAACAGTACATGTTAAAATCTAAGCTCAGCTCGGCAGTGACCTAAAATACATAAATATAATTTTACTTACCAAAAAAAATGAAGTGGAGACTCCTTGGACGCTCTATTAGTGCAATTAATGCCACAGCAAGTCATTTTGTCCAACAATTGCACAAAAAATATCGAAAACAGAATACACAAACACAGAGACTCAAAATCCCGGAACAGTTTCCAAGCCGACCGAGGCTCTACTGAGGCCTTTCCACGGAGCTAGCTAAGTGGTCACGTGGGTCTGATGCTCATTAATTATACAGAATTTTAGGCTTTTAATACACTTAAACAGAAGAGTGAGAAAAAAATCCCCCCCCCTCCCCCTCACAGTTGTCATGAGTGTAAACTAGATAATTTAAACAAAAAAATATGTTTTGGTACCAGGCTGTAAACATGTTTATTTCTGCTGTGAAATTGGTATTTTTAACATGGGAGTCAATGAGGATTTGCCCGCTTCTGACACCAGCCCCCAGCGGATGAGGGTGGAACTGCAATTTTTGGTACTTCCAGGTTGAGACCATTTTTAGAGCCGCATTGTGGGGGCTTGGACGGAACAACAGCAGATAAAGATGGTGTTTCAGCAGACATCACGGCTCCTGGCGGGTTAATCTGTGGGGCAAAGTTACAGAACGACCAGCTTGACCCAGCTGGGAAAATATGACCTTTGTCACAAATTAGAGGCCATTCATGATGCTACACTTTGTTATTTATTAGTGTTATTTGAGCCACTCAATCTGTTGCTATTTGTTGATTAGGTGCCTGTGTTACTGAGCGGCATACCTAAGTTTGAACGTTATTTTTTTTTCTTACAGAACAACTGCAATATATGGCAACAAACTTTAAATCGGCTGTTTTTCATGTTTAGATGGTACTTATTTTGCAAAGCGGTCTCTTTTATGTACCATGTGATTGTGTTAATTTTGTATACACTTGTATAAAAACAAAGTTATTAAAAGTTACTGCACTGTGTTGTCTATATGCCGACTGTGTTAATATTTCTCATTCAGGTCTCTCTTAGAAAAATGACCTCGATCACTGCCTGATTACATAGGAGAATAGAATATGAAACGGCCTTGATTTTCCTTTAAGTAACACACCGTAGCTCCTTTAAGTATAGTTTAAAGAATTTTATAATTTAAGTAGCGAGGAGTTATTTGAAATAACATGCGCCGAGGCGTCACCGGTGATCCTGGTGACGCATCGGCGTTAAAGGGTTAAAAACTCAATGAAAACAAAGTGGGTCAATCCTGACCAATGTGTTAAAAGACCTGCAGGCCTGAGAAACGAAACAAGGATTCATGTGGTTTCTTTATAGCCTATAAAATTACATGTTTTCTCCAGGACCAGAGAGGACACAAACTCAATACATCTCTTTTATTGTGAGGTAATAATTTCTCCAAGTTTTGAGGTTGCAGGCGGGAGTGCACACTGCGGGTGCGGGCGGGACTGTAACACACACATTGAGGTTGCGGGCGGTAGTGGTAAGAAATTCAGCGAGGGCGAGCAGGAGTGGGATGAAGAAAACAGTACCGCGCAGGGCTCTACAGACAACTTTTAGAATGAATTGTTGCACTCTGTCAAGCAGGAATTTATCAGCAAAACCTTGATTTTTCTAAACTTGCTTCGTGGATCATATATATATATATATATATATATATATATATATATATACACACACACACACACATATACACGTATTATATATATATATATATATATATATATATATATTTACACACACACACACACTCACACACCCATTTTAAGCAAGAACACCTCCGCAAACAAATTTAAATCTCCAGGCAATTGTTTTTGTAAAACATTTTTTAAAGTTTAGCCATTTTCTTAAATTGTGCATTCATGAGTTTTGAATGCTGCATTTGTTTTATTCTTATTGAAATTTCAATATGCAACAGTAAATATGTCAGTAACCTTTAAAATGTAATTTTCATCAACATGAACAGAAATTAACTTTCATTTGCAGACACAAACACCATCTGCCTGGCCCCAAAACAGAGAATTCGGCATCAGTCCTTGTTAACGTACAAGAAAACATAACTTTCTCAGTCACGGTCTCATGCAGCAGAAACTTCTGCATCCTCACTCTGAATAAAGTTTATCTACCTTAAAGTTCATAAGTGACTTAAGGAGAGTGGCTAGACTGACATGCAGAGCAAAATCATTTCTTTTGCTACGGTCTAGATTTCTAAGCTACTAAAATACACAGTTGAGGAAATTTGAAAAGAATTGGATTAGCACAGCGAAAGTTGTAATAAAAAAAACCAACTGCCTGACCAAATAAATATCTCAGGGACATTCATTTAATAGGGTCTGATTGCAGCTTGGCATTACGTTTGAAGGAAAGTGTCATGTAATAATGATTATTAAAAGTACCTGGAAAAACAGGATAATGTATCTGAACATTATCTGATAAATTTGGCCACAAATCCATCAAGGCCAGGTGCTTTGTTTGGTGTTCTGTCCAATTTCTTCTGATTGTTCGCAACAAAGTCAGCTTTCTCTTCTGAAGTTCACCTCCAAGAAAGTAAGTTGAATGAAAGTTTAAGAAAAGAGCTGGCATCGGTTTGCTTCTAGAACACTAGTCTGAGTTGTGAACTATAAAAATGTCTAAACTAACTAGTGTTGATATCTTGATTTTTTTCCCTTTCTTTAGGAACCCTAGAGAGAAAACAAATCTTCCCATGTTCAAACATGTGAATAAATGTAGATAAATGATTTCTGATGACAACAAACAGATTAAAAACTGACAGCGCATATAATAAATTACACTTTTGATGAAAACAATCTTCTAATATGCTTAAAAATCTCTCTCATTTTCAGTCCATAAATAAACGGATTAAACAAAGGATGGTATAAAAATATTTGCAGAGTCATAATAAAGCGAGCTGTTTGGGGAATATCAGACTCCACTCGAGCAATAATGACATCATAAACCATCAAACTGAAGTAGCCTATTAAAACCAACAGGTGAGGTGTGCAGGTCTCAGCAGTTTTTTTCCTGAATTCTTTACAACTTTGATAGGAACTTATAAATATGTTTGTATATGTAAAAACCGTAAAGAGCACTGGAAGTATCACAAGATTCAATAAAGCAACAACTCCAAATAAAGTAAGTGGTTTTGATTTCACACACTGAAGTGTGTAAATGACATTATTGCAAATGATTCCCTTTAGCCTTAGCTCACACATCTCAGCTTTAGCACTTAGTATTGCCTGTACTGCAATATGACAAGCTGAAAAGGACCAAGCTACTATCAGAAAAGTACTGACTGTAGTTTTACTCATGATAGTTGAATAATTCAGAGGTTTACAAATCGACACATACCTGTCAAAAGCCATGGCTGCCAAGAGCAAAAACTCTGCACAACCTACCGTATAAAACATAAAAAACTGGAACAGGCAGGCAGAATATGAAATGATCTGTTTGTCAGATAAAAAGTCTATCAGGAGTTTAGGGTAAATAGTTGTGCTGTAAAGAACACAGTTAAATGACAAAGCAGCAATGAAAATGTACATGGGCTCATGGAGGTTCTTATTTGTCCAGATAATATAAATAATAATAAAATTACTACAGATTATTACAACATAAACTGTGATCATAACAGCAAAATACATATACCTGTAAGTGTCCATTGCCACATACCCAACTAGAGTTATATAGGAAACATTTGTCATTATCCATCAATGTTTTAAAAACTATATTTAAATGCAATGAACTTGGTTTAATGTCATCTGCTGTCTGGACAAACTGAATAATTTGAGCCTGTGCAAAGATTATTTGATTCCTTCACCCTCTGAAGGTCTGTTCTCTGGAGTGTCATTGGTTGGACTCGAGGTGGGTTTATGTTGTACAGGTTGCCACTGGAGTGCAGGTGGATACGATGAACAACATTAGTATTTACTCCAAACTCTTCAACTTTGAATTTTATTTGTTTTATAACAGAAATGTGCAATTTACAAAAATGTTTTATTGCCATACATTTTCATGTAACAGTGCGCATTCACAATGATTGTTCCATCCGTAACTTTGCAACTTGTGTTGCTCAAAACAAACTGTACCAGCAGATTTACTTTTCATACAGATGTTGTTAGGGTGTCCCAATAACATCCATAGGAAACAAATGTGTGTAAAAACATGGATCCATGTTTTAAAACGTTCTCCCATTTATCCTGTCTAGTCACTCTCTCTGATCCGTTTACTGTAATTCAGTCACTATCAAATACAGCTTACAACCATTGGTAGTTCCATCTTTTCACTCCTGTCATGACTTGTGGCAGGAGCAGTTCACTGGAGACTCAGGCCCTGTCCACACGTAGCCGGGAATCTGCCAAAACGTAGATATTTTTTACGTTTTGGCCTGTCATCCACACGAAAACGGAGTTTTTTCACACGAAAACGGATCTTTTTAAAAACTCCGGCCAAAGTGAAGATCTGCGTTTTCTCCGTTTTGGGTGTCTGCGTGTGGACAGACAAAACCGGAGTTTTAAGGTCCGCAACGTCACTTTCCGCAACAAAAAATGCTGACATCACGTGTGCGACCTGTGTTTACACTAGCCAACAGCATGGATGCCCTCAGAGCTGCGCTCGCTTTATCAATTGTCCAAGTGCTTTTTGCTTGTTTGTTTTTGCAAGCGGAATTACTGCTCCTTGCGGAAGACCACAGATGAAGGACGAGGTTAAGAACGGGGGAAGTACTGCTGCCTACAGGTCTGGCATGTCCTTAACAACGTATTTATCCAGGTACATGTGGACAGAGTTTATTTTTTAAAACAAGGTGGTGTGGATGCAAGTTTTTGGAGGGGCGGATATTCGTTTTTAAAAAAAAAACGGCTACGTGTGGACTAGGCCTCAGTTGTGGTGATCCACTGGGTATGGTGGTAATTGTATCCCTCCTCCTGTGATGTACGTACCTCAGACAGAAATCCAGATTGGGACCTTTGTTCCTTCTCCAGCTATGTTAAGTGCCACCATACCTGAACATGATGCAGTCAGATTTATGTGTCACTGAGGCACCCATGGAGAATATGCAACAGCTTTATGAGCCACTAATTCTGCATGGAGTGTTAAAACAGATGGACATGATTTGGGTCCTTGGTCAGACAAAAATGCTTCATAAGCTTTTTGACTCTTTCCAGTAACTCTGTGGGCTGTGTTAAATTGACCCTGTAGTGCTTCCTTGTGTGCTGTTAGGTGGGAGTGGCACTGGCAGTATGTGGTGTGTGTGTGTGTTGGGGGGGGGGGGGGGGGGGGGCATCGAAATGTCAGGAGATCCCTTTGAGCTGCGTTTTTCAAAAGTAACTGATGAGGTGAAAAATTAAGAAGCCAGGCAGCAGTTTTTCTGGAGAGTTTAGAGGAGATGCAGGAAGATGAGAGACAGACCGAACAGGAAAGCTGTTAAATAAAAACAGGAAAACAAAACAAAGTGTTGAAAAGTAAAATGTAGGTAGATTTATCTCCACTGCAAGTTGTAGCGTCCAGAAATGGTCAGTTTTTCATCTACAATTGACCTCTCCAGTATCCGGTCACATGGAGACATAAGTCTTAACTGGAACCTTTAATCTGCAAAAAAGATACTGTTGCTTGACCAAGGTCCCTCTCAAGTTTCCTCTTATCTTTATCTGCTTTGCTTCACAGAACAAGAAGAATGAACTTTTAAAAGAACGTACCTTTATAACGAATACTCGATGATGCAATGAAATACGTAAATAATCATATGGTTGAATGAATAATGATGGCTGAAGAATAATAGCAATGTTTTGACTAATCTGCGCTTAAATGACTGAAGTTGAAATGATTATTATGTTATGATCAGTAAAGTTTGATTTAACAAGTGAATCACTATCTACTGACAGACCACACACTCAAGACACATGACAATGACAAGTGTAGTGGAATATAGTTGTATATTCTTACACTTTTTATTAGGTCCAGATATTATAATTAGAAGAGGTTGTTTTTACTTCAGGGAGTTTTATTTAAACACTTTGTATTGACTTAGAGACAAGAGAGAGTTGGGATCGTTTAAGAATCTTTAATTTCTATAATTATAAATTCAAACAATGTCCCAGGACTAACTCTCTATGATGGATGCATATGGATTTGAATGTTGAAGTGTTGGTGTGTGTGTTCAGAATCTTCAGGCTGAGGCAGGCGGATCTGGGTGTCAGATGTTTTGACTAGGAACCACGAGGGCTTCAGAAGCTCATAACATGAAACGCCATCTTGCCGAGTCTACGTACCGTGTGGAGTCTCCCGTGGTCAGATCAGGAATGTCAGGTTCTCGGACCTCCTTGGGACTGGACTGATGAAACAGTGTTGCAGCACGACAAAACCCGTCTACGGATAGCTCCCGGCAGTAGTGGCAGGTCTCAGCGCGTTCAGCTTTTATTTTGAAGGAACCGTCGTCTTGTTGTTCAAACGACAGAATTTCCATCTTGACAGTTCTCAGCTTAAAAGTAGAAAAATACAGCTGGCCAGTCTGTAATCTCCTTTAGCGATGATGATTTGAGAGCTGGTTGAAACTACGTTGAGTCTATGATGTAACTCTGTTGGAGCTGAGATGGAACTCCGATGGAACTCAGATGGAACTGAAGTTAAAATGGCGTTGCTCTGTTTTGTTAACTTAGTTGTTTATAAATCTTAGCAAATGGGAGTGGACAATTTAAGAAAACAGCCCAGATTCTGCCCTGCAACAGACGGAAGCTCTGATTGGATGAGAACAATGTGTCATGCGTTCTTATGTTCTGTGGATCAGTATGTCTGGTGCACAGTCCTGTTTATTCATTAAACACATAAATCATGACATTTTGATTTCACAGATCAGTCACCTGATTATTATTGATCAACATATGTTTTGATTAGCTTTATTACAAATAAAGTTCTTTGATTAATTAATGAAAACCGTTCTTCTTCCTTCTTCTGTCTCCTTTCCTGGAATGTAAACATTTAGAAACAAGCACCCGACCTTGGCCATTCATGCACACTGTTACTGTGTGCAGGGGCAGCTGTTAAGGGCAGACAATAGCATCTTCATATCGCTACAACAAGGTTAAAGTAATCTCATGACACATTGCTTTCTGGTCCACAAATCAGAGCTCCTGTATCTGATTAAGGTGTGGTTTCTGAGGTTTTTATTTTATTTTGTTTTATTTCTTTTGTTTTCCCGTGTCCTGTCTGGCTGTGAAGCAAACAGAATTGATGTCTGAATGCTGGTGACAAGCCTTACAGATTTACTCTCAGGTGGAGCATCAAAGTGTCTGCTTTTAATGTCACACCTGATACTAAAAACTTTATTGTTATTGTTTTTGAATGGAGACAGAGGTGAAAGAGAAAGGAAGAGAAAAAAGATGGCGGTGGTAATGGGGTGGGGTGGGGGTGGGGGGTTCCACAAAAATAAAAAAATGCTTCTAGACCTGCAGAAAGAGAGAAGAAGAAAGAACAAAAAAACAAACAAAAAAGGGACACAACAACAATACAACAATATCAAGCTATCACTGCATCAATTTGATGAAAAAATATAAAATCAACATTGTTTAACTGAACAATCACACAATAATAAATCACAGTGCATTAAGTGCCCACCATAGCCTTAAGACATGTGTCGAACGTGCCCAAGTCTATACTTATGAGAGCACCATGTGAGCACCTGTGTGTGTACACACACTTGTTCATGTAAGGTTTCTCTATAGGAGCGTCCAGTAGAGAGTGTGAGGGGCCACAGATCTACCCCCTAAAGATGTGCAGGAGACGGAGGGAGCTCCAAGTCCCAGAGATCCAGGAGCTGCCCCAGAGCACAGGAACCCCAAGGAGACTGCGACCAGAAAAGCACCCGCCCACCTCGAGAGGCGCAGAGGATCGCCCCGGGGGGCCACAACCAGCTGACGGCAAAGTCCCGGGAGATATCGGCGGCAAGCCCACAGGCCCGCCCACAGCCTATCACCCCCCAGCCGGCCGAGCCCGGGATCCAGCGACCCAGGACCCAGGGGCGACCTCCCCCGCCGGGGACCCAGCAGAGCCCAGGGACCCAGATCCCACCAGACAGCCATCGGAATTGATCAGGCAGACACCAAAAATCTTAAACCGCTGATCTGGGAGCCACGAACACTGAGGCAGACGAAGGTACCACACGCCACACAAGGTGTGGCAGGGGGAGGGGAGACGAAGATGTATAGCATCAAAAGAAGTCCCAGGAGAAGGGAGGAGTCAAAGGCCCCACCTGACATATACAGTCATACACAGACACAGTCACACACTCCCTCCCTCATGCTCACACATACACTTACAACCAAAGACTTACAAAAATGCATGCCGGACACCCACTCATGCTCCCCATACACACCCTATTCACTCTGGTCCCGGTACTGCTGCACATGGGGTACAACCATTACCGGTTCCCAGAGTTCGACCCTTTCTGGTGGGGTGCTGATGAGCAGGCCCTAACGCTGAACAGAGCAACCCACCACCCCAGACCCCAACCCGACGGCCAGATCTCCCTCTTAGCCTCCAGCCCCGGGAAACCAAGTGACAACAGAGGTGTGCTAAGACCCCTAGTCTCCCTCCTCCTGCTCGAATATAGTGTTAGTGCATGTTGATGAGGTGTATTCTATGGCTGTGGTGAGCGGGCAGTGTGGGCATCGTCTGACCTACGCCAGCTGATGCCACCACACTACCCCAC